CTGTCTTTTTTCACCAAAATAATATTCTAATAAGAGCCCCCTATTTCTTATTTTGAGAGCGCCCTGGGCGCTTATTATGTCAAGTACGGTAAGCCGTTACTTTGACTTTGCTAATTTCATCACGCACAAAAAAGAAATAAGAAATATCGTTAAGTACCTGTTTCTAAATTCATACACATTTTCAGCCATCATTGTTTTACATTTGTATTCATACTTCTTCATGTAATATAATTCATTTTTATTACCCATATGTGTCATCAAAGACAATGTATTCTGAGACATTTATCATAGGCCCTGTCATATAAAATTGACATTATAATTCACTAACAACAGTTTGTCTTGGTATACATGCTAGATTGTTGGGTTCTGTAAATTCTTAAAATACTCTGCCATCGAGAGAGCCCCAGCTGTTAATGTGAAGTTAAGTTTTGACCTTAGACTGGCATTTTCATAGCTTGTTTAACAAGCAAGAAGCCATCACATCACAATAAAACTGCCATTTCCACCTCTTTTTACGTCTAATCCTCAAAAGTTCCTTTTCCTCATTAAAACTTTATGAATCTTCTATATATTGCTTCTACAACAAAAATATTAATTTTTTTATCTAAAAATATTTCAGTCGTGTTTGTTACTATAACTGCTTTTGTCATTTTCTTTTCTTTCTTTTTTTCATTTTAGAAAGTTTCAGATGCCCAGAAAAGTGAACTTGTGATGGTTGTTTTATTATTCAACAGTTTTAGCTAAACAAAATGAAAATAAAACTATTTTTTATGATGGTTGAAAATCCAAACAGCTTTATCTTGAACACCTGTTAATATTAAGCTGTCAAAGAACTCATTATCCCACCTAAAGATTGAATTTCAAATTTAGATCTTATGAGCTTTAGACGTAATAAAAAGCTGCATATCTTATCGTTGAATCACCCCTATCCCAATCACCAGCAAATATCACACATCTCAAATTGAATGAATGAGAATTGTCAAAATTTAAGGGTGAATCATATTTTGACATCATTCTGTATTACCCATAATCCCTTACATTTATGTGGGGACCAGCCCTTTATGACTATCGTGTCTCCGCTGTATTGTGACCAGAGCCTGGTATTGTATACCGGAATATAGGTAAAGTTGATTAGGATTAAGGCGTACCTGAGATCACATTGCCCCTCAACTATGGCGAGGCGCACATTTGTCGAATAAAAATAACATTTGTGTCGGTCAATATTTTTATTGTATTTTACATTTATGTATAAGTTGATCTGGGTGTTGGTTTAGTGAAGAAAATGTGAACGCTAAGCTGGTTCAGAATGTAATTGTGTTTAGTAACAAGAAACTGTTTTCACTTCTTTTGCCAAAGGATTTGCTCTATTAGATTATTTTCTTTACAGTAATGGATTCTGAACTGTTGCTTTATTACCCTATTAATCTTTTATTTAAGGTGACCAACCCAAAGGTTTATTGTACCATAATGATTTAAGATTATTTTATTTGGATTTGTCAATCAGGTTTCAAATGACAATAACCACCTCTGATTGAAACAGCTGATTTGATGACTGTATCATCACAATAACCACCTCTGATTGAAACAGCTGATTTGATGACTGTATCACCGTTGAAGCTGATATTTACTGAAAAGAACTTCCTTTTCAATCATTGCCGGTAGCCATTCTCGGAGTAGTTCTCAAACAGAGTTCTGGATTTTAAAAAAATATCAAGGTCTACCGTCCCACCATATCATAAAATTTAAAGTGATCAGAACCACACCATTAATTATTTTTTTAGGCACTGTTCATCAATTTTTATTTTTGTTTTTTGAAAGTGTTTGAAGTTTTCTCATCAGAACTAGAGCAGAGAGGAAAGACAAATAGATTTATTTTTATTTTAATTCCATTTGTGTATTTTGGCTCAGACCAGAGATCCTCATTTGAAAAATTTGATCAAGTGTCGCCCTGCCCCGTACTTTTGCCAACAGTGTCGTTTCAATGGCTGTACATTGTCAACCACAACAATAAGCTATTATGACACAGCGATAACCAAAATTGTGGTTTGTACTCTCAGTTATTAAATTGCCAGGCTTATTTTTGTCTGTCCACATGACTTTTATTTCATATTTCCATATGATTGTAGCCTGATTGTGAGGACTTTACAGTGACAGCAACTCGGTCGGTACTGACAGGGGATTGTTCGTGAAGTCAGTTCATCCTAACTCTTAATGCTGGAGTCACATAATGATAACAGATTGTTGGAGATGGGACAATGTGTTGTCGTGAGAATTGTTCTGAATTTGTGTATTAATATGTTAATGGGCCCAGATTAGGTGGTGTTTTTTGTCCATTCTTCTCATTATTATTTCTGGATTTTCATCAGATGATTATTACAAATGTTCCTTCTAAGCTTAGAAGAAAAAGAGATCTTTGATGTTGGCTATCGTTTTGCATTATTCATCAGTGTTAAGAGAAGATTATGGTGTCTGACAATGAAGTTGATAGAGTGAATTGTGATAGATTTGTCAGTTTGTAAACAAAGTTTTAATTTAATCTGTATGACGATAGCTAAGTGAAACAATACCCTGGTTATTCAGTGCTGTTGATTTTGTTTATTGTGCGTCATATATAAACAGGGATTAACAGCAAAATAAGAAAAATAAAAACAAAAAATCATCTTTTTGCAATTAAGATGTGGGTGACATAATATTATAGGTCCTCTTTTATCAGCCGGATGGTGACTTTTTGTAGTTGTTATCCTCTTGTTCTACAAGTTTTGCCCTAAGAGATCAAAAGAGAACTTTCTTTTTTTTAATAAATGTGGAGGGGCACTCGGGTAGCCTATAGTGGTTAAAGCGTTCCCTCGTTACGCTGAAGACCCGGGTTCAATTCCCGATAAGGGTACAATGTGTGAAGCCCATTTCTGGTGTCCCCCGCCTGATATTTGCTGGAATATTGCTAAAAGCGGCGTAAAACCATACTCACTCACTCACTCACTTTAATATATGTGGCAGTTGTTGGTATTTTTGTGACAACTCAAATATAGTCAGATTTACTGTTGATTGTAATAAATGACGAAAAAATGAAAAGGGAGTGAAAATGTTAGCTAGATAGTCTCCACTGTCCTTGTGTGTCATTGGTGAAGTTATAAATTATCCACTCTGTTTCAAAATAACCCTCCAACTCCCAACAAAGAAGTAAATGTTCCACAAGAAAATAAATGCACCTGTTTCTCCGGTTTTGAAGAAACCCCTACATTCTCCCTGTCCTCCCAAGATGTCTGCTGTGGTCTGTGACATGAGAAACAGGGCGCAGAAGTGTCCCGAGTTGTGGACATCAGCTTGTTTTCAACACCACCACTCAAGCCTTTGTCTTACCTCTGAGTTTTGACTCTTGGAATTTCGAAGCACCATTGTAGCCAGTCAAAAAGTGTCATCGACATTGGGGTCTTTGTCGCACTAATTGCTGACCCCTTCTCGCTGGTCACTTCAGGCTTTGCTTGTCTGCCAACAGAGCCTGCATTCATGTCCACGCTTCCTCTATTTTTAATCTTCAAGTAGTTGTTGTTATGGGTGCGAGCATCTGTCTGGATGGGTATTGTTGATGCTATTGTCACCTTTCGGTTGTCAATAGATCTCTTGACCTCTAGGCTTTTAAAACTGTGGTTTTGTCCGTGTACGAGGGAATTAATTAAACGTGGCCCGTAGCTGTTTTCCAAAAGGGGGCAACCATAATGGACCTCATGTCTGGATTCGTAGAAATGCTCACCCAGGCATACTAGCACTGTCTCCAGTCGAAGGTTGGAAATCAGTCCGTTCACTGCACCGGAAAATTTTGTCAATCACTTTTCTGGCCAGGTCACCTCTTAATTATTTTTGACTTGACTGATGGCATGTGGTTTGGCTGCTAGTGCATTCTCATAATTTATCATGGGAATATGTGAAAAGTGAGGTGTGATCACGTCTTCGGATGCTACTGCACTCTGGGGTAGTTTATTTGAAAACTTCTTTCTCGGATCAAATTGTAATCTTCTCATGCCAATCCATGCGAACAAATGGAATATTTCCAATGGCGGATATGCCTTTGGGGTAGGCAAATTTATATTGAAAAGTTATCTTTGGAAGGGAAATACAGTTATGTTAGGAATACATTGTGTTGTGCCATCACTCATGAGATAGGGGAATTGCGTTGAAAACTACAATACTGAAAGAGTTTAATAAACTGTCTGGGGCATTTAGTTTGAGGTGCTGATCAACGGACAGACGTACAGTTCAGGTCACAAGGATTAGATTGTGTGGATGTATTACTGTTTGATGTGCTCAGAGATTTGTCTTCCATGAAATCAGTGGAGATTCTAATATTCCAAACTTTCTTCTGTCATCCTTCTCAGTTTAACTCTTAAACATCAAGATATGATGACTCAACTCTATACCATCAAGACATGTTGAGTCCACTCTTAAACATCAAGATATGTTGACTCATCAAGATATGTTGACTCAACTCTTAAACATCAAGATATGTTGACTCAACTCTTAAACATCAAGATATGTTGACTCAACTCTTAAACATCTAGATATGTTGACTCAACTCTGAAACATCTAGATATGCTGACTCAACTCTGAAACATCAAGATATGTTGACTCAACTCTTTAACATCAAGATATGTTGACTCAACTCTTTAACATCTAGATACGTTGACTCAACTCTTTAACATCAAGATATGTTGACTCAACTCTTAAACATCTAGATATGTTGACTCAACTCTTAAACATCTAGATATGCTGACTCAACTCTGAAACATCTAGATATGTTGACTCAACTCTTTAACATCAAGATATGTTGACTCAACTCTTTAACATCAAGATATGTTGACTCCACTCTTAAACATCAAGATATGCTGACTCAACTTTGAAAAATTAAGATTGTTACCTCAGAAATGACTTTTATTATTTACAGTTTGCAATCGTTGAAGACGAAAACTTATATACATCTGTAAACATATTTTTTTACGTTTCAGGAATTGGCAGGGGAGATAATCCTGACTTTGGGAGAAGCCTTTGAGATTGCATACCAGATGGCGTTGAAAGAGAAAGCTGAGGAAGATGCCATGGAGTTTGAGAAGAAGCTGAGCCCCAGTGACCAAGAAGATACAACCAGCGCCTCATCAAAAGCATCGCTCAATACAGTATAGCACATGTACATAACGTGTGTAGTCTCCTGTGTAAGTAGACCAACTCCTCTCTCAATACAGTACAGCACATGTACATAACGTGTGTATTCTCCAGTGTAACCAACTCCTCTCTGAATACAGTATAGCACATGTACATAACGTGTGTAGTCTCCTGTGTAACCAACTCCTCTCTCAATACAGTACAGCACATGTACATAACGTGTGTTTTCTCCTGTGTAAGTAGACCAACTCCTCTCTCAATACAGTATAGCACATGTACATAACGTGTGTATTCTCCTGTGTTAGTAGACCAACTCCTCTCTCAATACAGTATAGCACATGTAGATAACGTGTGTATTCTCCTGTGTAACCAACTCCTTTCTCAATACAGTATAGCACATGTACATAACGTGTGTATTCTCCTGTGTAAGTAGACCAACTCCTCTCTCAATACAGTATAGCACATGTGTATAACGTGTGTATTCTCCAGTGTATGTAGACCAACTCTTCTCTCAATACAGTACAGCACATGTACATAACGTGTGTAGTCTCCTGTTTAACCATTATCACACCTCAATACAGTATAGCACATGTACATAACGTGTGTATTCTCCTGTTTAACCATTATCACACCTCAATACAGTATAGCACATGTAGATAACGTGTGTATTCTCCTGTGTAACCAACTCCTCTCTCTATACAGTATAGCACATGTACATTACGTGTGTATTCTCCTGTGTAACCAACTCCTCTCTCAATACAGTACAGCACATGTACATAACGTGTGTATTCTCCTGTTTAACCATTATCACACCTCAATACAGTATAGCACATGTAGATAACGTGTGTATTCTCCTGTTTAACCAACTGCTCTCTCAATACAGTATAGCACATGTACATAACGTGTGTATTCCCCTGTGTAACCAACTCCTCTCTCAATACAGTACAGCACATGTACATAAGGTGTGTATTCTCCAGTGTAAGTAGACCAACTCCTCTCTTAATACAGTATAGCACATGTACATAACGTGTGTAGTCTCCTGTGTAACCAACTCCTCTCTCAATACAGTACAGCACATGTACATAACGTGTGTATTCTCCAGTGTAAGTAGACCAACTCCTCTCTCAATACAGTATAGCTCATGTACATAACGTGTGTAGTCTCCTGTTTAACCATTATCACACCTCAATACAGTATAGCACATGTACATAACGTGTGTATTCTCCTGTTTAACCATTATCACACCTCAATACAGTATAGCACATGTAGATAACGTGTGTATTCTCCTGTGTAACCAACTCCTTTCTCAATACAGTATAGCACATGTACATAACGTGTGTATTTTCCTGTGTAAGTAGACCAACTCCTCTCTCAATACAGTATTGCACATTCGTATAACGTGTGTATTCTCCAGTGTAACCAACTCCTCTCTCAATACAGTACAGCACATGTACATAACGTGTGTATTCTCCTGTTTAACCAACTCCTCTCTCAATACAGTACAGCACATGTACATAACGTGTGTATTCTCCTGTTTAACCAACTCCTCTCTCAATACAGTACAGCACATGTACATAACGTGTGTATTCTCCAGTGTAACCAACTCCTCTCTCAATACAGTACAGCACATGTACATAACGTGTGTATTCTCCTGTTTAACCATCATAGAGAAACACTTTGTTTTCTGGAACCTGTTTGTCTTTATACAGGACATTAATCCATTTCCGTGATTCACCCACCCATCTTTGTTTGTTCCAACTATCTGTGGGAGAAGGGGGTAGGGTCAACTGTCAACATGGCTCCCACTTCATCCAACACACCAGGCATAAAATATGTTCTTTATATGAAATCATCAGCATGAAGTATCATGAGGCACATCCCCACCAATAGTTCTTCAATATGTGTCATTAAGTATAAAGTGTTTCTTTCACTAGCATGTATATTCGAGTTCACGTTTGTAGTGGCCTCTCTGAGTTTGTGTAGAGAGCAGATCTGACCAGCCTTTCTCTAAGGCTGGGTGGGGGGCGGTCGGGTAGCCCAGTGGTTAAAGCGTTCGCTCGTCACGCCGAAGACCCGGGTTCGATTCCCGACATGGGTACAATGTGTGAAGCCCATTTCTGGTGTCCCCTGCCATGATATTGCTGGAATATTGCTAAAAGCGGCGTAAAACCATACTCACTCACTCTAAGGCTGGCACCGCCACCTACTTTTGAGTCAACACAGTAGTGCCTATCAAACTGGGTAGTTTTGTGGCATGTCCGGGGTCAGCTCTTCTTGGGATAGGTCCGAGGCCCTTGGTATGTCTGTGCCCAAGATATCTTCGGTTGCTGTAACCCTCATCTGGTCGTCCTATTCATACATATTAAATGCAAACTTTGAGTAATCATTCCAGATAACAAACAAAAACTAGTGGTGTTTTTTATCTGGAATCCTTTATCTAAGATAACTTTTCTATTGCACCAGTGATGACATGAAAGAGAATCTGATATTAAACATTGAATGAAGAGAGGATATGTCGACCACAGCGACACCCACCCTGTAATAGTTGTTTCATTAAAGTTAAGTGTTCTAAATATTTCCTCCCACATTGAAACAGCTCTGTCACGGAAATTCTGCTTATGATGTTTATGACCCAATCGTCCCTCAATTTCTATACTATCGTAAACAACACCCCATTTCTCACGGTGGCATTTTCTATTGGTATGAATAATTATTGGTGTGGCCATATCCACCTAGAGGCTAAATCCCATATTTGCCTAGCTCCTCTTGTGTGACTTTATACAATAACAGTGGTCATGGTGTACAACACAATCATGTCCTTAACTGATCTGATTGTGAATGACTCATTGAGCAAGATCAACATGTCTTTCATTGAAATCACCGGACATATTGCACTTTGTGATCCAATGAAGAAGACGATTTTCTCAAATCAAAATGAACAATAAACGTGAGTCCGCTGACATGATTAATTTCTTCAGTCCAGTTAGATGTGATTCAGGGTGTCAAGAGGATCATTTGAAAGAGCAAACATAAATTGACGAGTCTGCGAGCAAGCGTTTCTTTCCACGATTAAGCTATATTATGAATTGTGAAACAACAATACAATTTACATCCCCTTCCCGCTGTTTGCCCGGTCGCTTTTGACTTGATATTAAATGAGAATAGAAGTCACGGGTCCACACTTTGAAAGATGGTCCTCTCGCGAGGTGGGCAGTGGGGGTAGCCATGTTTGTAACAAGCAGGGCGCGAAGCCAGTAATTGTTCGACTCGGCCGCCAGTGTCGTTTGTTAATCTTGGGATGCGGGATATGTGGGTGCTGTAAAAATGAAGCGTACAAATTAAGGTTCCTCATCCTTCAATGCAGTTCGATGGTGAATTCTTTTTCGTTTGACAGATTGAGAAAAAAACTTAATGAAGCAGATGGTGGGATACTAGGAAAGAGAATGGGACGCCCCTAAGTTGGTTGTGGTATATTCACAGATATTGTTCACGATTGTTTTGTCCGTGTTCCCTTTTGCCTTAGCGAAATCCCCAAAGTAATAAATATGGTCTCGTTTGGGGGTAAAAATCTGAGGTTGATGTCGAAAATATTGCGGGCGACTCTGTTTGTGGCTTGTTATCCACACAAGGAGAAGGCAGCTCTCTCCTTCAATACAGCATTAATCAAAGACCATTAAGCCATAGGAGAGATGCATTAGGACTGGCTTTTCAATCGCCGACAATTTCTTGTAAAAGGAAGCACTGGGACCATGTGGCAGTGATCACCAGTCTATTGTTAGCGATGATACATTGCGTCTCGTTGAGACGAGGATTTGTCGCGGATGTGCTCTGGGGGGAGACCGGTGTAGGTGTAAGTCAACCAGCCCGGCTTTATTGACTAGGCTGAAGAAGGAGAGGTGGGTAATTGTCCATTAAATATCTCCAAGATGAAATAAACTGAACATGCGGGTACTAGTATAAGCGTGGCTTGTTCCATAACCGACACCATCAGATTGGAAAACGCAATTCAATCGAGTGGAGAAAATTCTGAAAAAAAGGTCGAAGGCTGTACATTTCAAAGAGACGATGCATTTAATTTGCATACATTGGAATCCCAATCGACAGGATTAATCTCAAAGATAATAAATTAAAAGTTAATTGAGGAAACATACGCAAGAGCCCAAATGTCTTTTTGCTGGAGAGATGGATGCCTTTCTTTTCGGAGATAGGAGGCCACTTGAAATATTCTGTGCCATGACTTGATCATGTCGTTTTTTGTTGCTCAAAGACAACAATAAAAGCCGTTTTTTTCTTGTTTTGTCCATATTGTTTGAACAAGCTTGGCTGTTTGATAAAGACTTCAAACCTTTGCCTTGCTTCTATCAATCTGGAGTTGTGAACAAATTTTTATCTTAAATATTTTGATAGTGAAACATCTGAATCATTTGAATATAATTTTCAGAAGGGTCACAGTGTTATCCAGGTAATGCTTAAGGGTTCACACAGTTCAAGGCTGTCGGGAGTTTCAGCATTTCAGAGCTGACACTGCAGCACTGACAAGTCAGTTGTTTGTTTTAAAAAATCTTATACGGACACTGACATTAATTTATTGTTGCCATTCTGAAGTGTGCTATTTTAATCAGTATCTAATTTTGTTCAGTGAGGGAGTTGGTTGGCTGGATGCTACTTGGACCACTATGTCAGCTTGGCTAAAGCATGTCACTTTAGTGTAGGGTGAGACAGGGTGAGACAGGGTGAGACGGGTCATAAAACTGTATCACTTTGGAGAAATGCATGATGTTGGTTATTGTGGGGAAAGACCAAGGTTCAGTTAGGGTGAATCTTGTATTTGAACCATGATCAGCGAATCCTGTCACATCTAAGGGAGGTAACTCAAAATGAAACTTGGCGCTCTAGCTCACTGTGTTGAATGAAACTCAGTGAGACTGCTATGCATTTAGTTGTGATATTGTTTGTGAGGTACAATGTGAGATTTGTTGACTGAGACTGTGGAGTGGAATGTACTAATGATGACACATATTTGTTTTTCCAGATAGCTGGCCCCTCATCAGGCTTCTCCAGGTCTTCCATGGCATGAGGAGCCCCAAGCGCCATGCACCATCCGCTAACATAGATCCTGGCAACTGTATCAGCCGAAGTCAGAAGCAGCTAGCTCATTGAGAAGTTTTTAATGATATTTACAATTTCTATCAATATTTAGCACCATTTAAAAGTATTTACTATTATTAAAAACACTAAAGCATCATCAGTGTTCTACAGTAGTCATCATTTGGCAAGCACCTGCTGGAGACTCCTACAACACAAGTGACTAACTACTATATTCAACCATCATGTCCTCATTCCATCAAACTAATTCCAGCAATCTAAGTGGCACTAAGATTATTTGGTGAATGTGCCTTGATATTAATGGGGGACTACGCTCCATGGTCTGGGAAACTCACCAGTCTAGATCTACTTGAAGATAATATAATTATCAATGATTGAGTGATAATTGTACCATGAATTTTGGAAACACTAAATTCTGATTGGTCATTCAGAGGTTTCAAATCACAATAACCACCCCAGCTGTGCGTTTGGTTCCAAATTCAATTTAGAATGGTTTGATCTACAGGTAACCTCGCTCTACAATGAAAAGACAGTATGTTTATCTACTAAACGTTATAATATTTGAGCAACAAAGAAAGATGTTTTTCAGTGACTAGAATGACATGCAAGGGTTATCAGTTGACCGTAGTCCCGCCCTGCGATTCAGCTGGGAGACAGATAGGGAGATGTACACTTGGATGATAACAAGTATTTGAAGATGGGGCTATAATGTACATTTTAAAGTAGGACCATGCATAAAATTGTTGATTTTGTTTATTTCTTTGTTTATGTTGGACAGTATGCAATTTTTGGCAGAGGGTGAGGGTGCAAAGATTGTAAGATATATGGAAATCTTTCGTTAATGTATTGCAATTTTACAGATTGCATGTAGAGATTTATAGATTTCCAGTGTTGCCCTCATAAGCTACTATACTTTTTTACTTTCATTTTTTGAAGTATTAATACATATACATACCAATCATTCAATTACAATAATCAGAATTCACATTTAACATCATATTTCAGTGTATGCCACTTTTGACCAAATTTCATGAGTAATATCAATACAATATGACATCAGTTTTTGTGACCAATCATATTGACCAGTTCGCTTATTTGAACATATCCGCACACAGGGGTCGTCTCAAGTTTTTCAGTCTTTTTAATTGTGTTCATAAAGAGATCAATAATGGATGCTTCATACAACAGTTTGCCGTTGATACATGAATAGAATATTCTTGTAGTGATATTGAAACCAACCAGGTATTTGGAAAGTATTATCACATGTCTTGTATGTACTTGAATTCATGACCCCGGTATAATGTAAAACTTGCCACCTTACAGACTATTTTGAACATGCTACAATTATACAAGTGCTGGGTTTTTTTTGTTTCGGTATTTTTTTCCATATCAACCAGAAATCTCCATGCATATCTTTTCAATATTTTAAATTTTTTTTGAGAAGACCCCTAAGATAACGAAAACCAAATATTGTGTTAGTAGCAGCTTTACCATTCCATCGTGTTTTGATTCCCGTTGTTTATATGCAAGTTGTAGTTGTATTTTTATGTTATTTATTTCAAGTTTGTTCACATCCCACTAGCGTTATTTACACATTTATTTGCTTATGTCAGCAGAAATGAAGAATTGATTGTTTTCATGTTAGTGTCACCTGGATCTCTCGAGATGTAAATGGAATTTACGTATAATCTCTTTTTTTAAAATTCAATTATATAAAGCATAATTTGGAAGCTATATGCATTTTTTGGCAGAGATATATTGTAAAGTAATAACTTGTGTTTCACAACATGTTTTCTTGGTGCATGTCCCCTTTACACCTACATCAAGTCATTGGTGTGTGTGCTTGGTGTGTGCATGTCAGGAGATGGAGTAATTAATCAAGATTTAAACATGTGGAAAACTACCATAGACTTCCATGTCTTCCTTGAGACAAGTGTCAAACTGGGATATATTTGTAGTTGTTTCTTTTTGACAGACTTTGTTTTTAAAAAATGGTTTGGGAGGTTGGGGAAAACACCTTTTTCTTTTTAGCTACATGTTGTCAAACAGGTTCAGTTCAGTAATTGCATCAATTCTGAATTTAAGCAAAATCATTCTCTTTGTTTCTTGAATAAATAGCTGATATAGTGTTTTAGAAGATATTATCATATGTATCAGACCTATATTTTGTCAAAAAACATGTAAACCAAGTTTAACATGGAGACCTAAGACGAGAAAATTATGAGAATTTCCCACGTGAAGACACCATTAATACTTGCAGTTTTCAAATGTGCATTTGACATTTTTGCATTCAATTTACTAAATCTATAGATATTAGTTTTGAAAAAGATGTATTGAAATCACCTGTTTGATATTAAACTTTATCTTTAAACCAGTGTATTGATTACAGTAAATGCCGTGTAGGTAGATGGCTGTTATTGCTACTGATAGAACTAGAGAACTCTCGTACTGAGAGTAACACAGGTGAGAGCACCCTCCTGCTACCTATGGTGGTTCATTAATACGAAGCAGGTTACATCTATAGGTAGTTGTGCATGCGGTAGTACACGGAGAGGGTCACTTCTTCCTAATCATGCAGTTGTTACAGATTGTCTATTGCTATTTAATGTTTATTATTTACTTAAGGCCATGAGCTTTCAATAAAAATACTAACTTCAGCTTATTCAATGAGATGTATTTTCTCACTGAATTTGTAGAGTAAATATATACATGGTTTGGAACCAACTCTGCTGTACTTGTGTCTCTTGCTGCCATTTGTGTTATAAATTGTTCAATTTACATTTTGTAATACATTTGTAAATTTGTAATAAAATTCAGAAGGATTATTTTATGCAAAACATTTGATGAAGTTTGTCATTTAGATTTCTAATGGATATCGTGTTTGACCTTCATGTTTTGTTCGCTTACATTAAGCTTGTAAGTGGCATTGAATGTCACTGTTAAATATTTGTATCTTAAGGGTCTCCATTTGTTTAGACATTTTGTTACAACTTAATGTTCTAAGAAGAGTATGTGCTGAAAAATGATAAATTGAAAAGGTAATGTTTAATATGAAATCCTCTACTTGAGTGATAATACGAGATGAGGGTTCTCTATAGGTGCAGTGTAAGGCTTGTGCGTGCAGTACAAACTCATGATTTTATTGTGTACAGCCATGATGGGAGATACTGCTTCTTACTGTAAATTGTATATATCTTGGAATGTTTGTACATACTTTTAACAAGCGCATTTCTTTCAACGAATGACATGTATTATCATTAAATTGTCAGATTTTTATTAACAAATGTCATGAATTATTGCACTGTGTGTCTATTCATATTTCTGTGCATCTTTAAACATGTCATATTTCAGTCATACAGCCACGTGTTATTGCTCCTGATATTGATTTTTTTCTGACAACACTTTCAGCAGTATTCAAGCCATTTCGTGACAGGTGCACCGGTAATGGGGTTTATACTTTGGACCTACCATATTCACCATAATAAGCGCCCTGGGAACCTAGAAATTTGACAAAGATTGGTTTGTTGTTTAACGCCGCACTCAACAATATTCCAGCTATATGACGGTGGTCTGTAAATAAACGAGTCTGGACCAGACAATCCAGTGATTAATATCATGAGCATCGATCCAAGTCAGCAAGCCTGACCAGAAATTTGACAAAGATTGGTTTGTTGTTTAACGCCGCACTCATCAATATTCCAGCTATATGACGGCGGTCTGTAAATAATCGAGTCTGGACCAGACAATCCAGTGATTAATATCATGAGCATCGATCCAAGTCAGCAAGCCTGACCAGAAATTTGACAAAGATTGGTTTGTTGTTTAACGCCGCACTCATCAATATTCCAGCTATATGACGGCGGTCTGTAAATAATCGAGTCTGGACCAGACAATCCAGTGATTAATATCATGAGCATCGATCCAAATCAGCAAGCCTGACCAGAAATTTGACAAATAGGGTGCTTATCAAAATCATAATCGACATGTTAACTTATTTTTAATGTCTATGAAACTAAAACTTTTTTGAAAATATTTACTAGACAGTCATGCTTACCTAAACTGCTGAGTTTTATGTACAACAAGTCTGTAATATAAACAAGAAAATACAGACTGTTATGTTCATTTATAGCTAGTACAGGGCACTAATATCGAATACTTACAAATTGGCCAAGTTGTTGATTAGGGGGACAGTTATTGGAGGGGGGCGCTAGATACAGTGAATACAGTGTGTGAAGGAAGTTCCAGATGAAATGAAACTTAAATTGAGATGCTCCCCACAATAGTTCAACACTGCCCCCCAGGGTGTTTATTTGTCCTTTTGATTCAGACAGCGTGTGGATGAGGAGGAATTGTCCTCAAGGTTTCACCCCCCAGGATATTATGTTCAGTGCACATGCTGGATGAAAAGAAGAAGAAATGTTTTTGCTTCTTATTTTGAAACATTTTCGGCCTCCAACAAACATTTTCCCAGACCAAATCCCGTTCTTGAACATTAAATGATCCCGAGAAGTAATGGGTTGCTTTTAGCTTTTTAATGAATCCATGACTGCATCATATGGCTTCATGTACTGAAATGTTTCATTTTTGAGATGGTAACTGTGCTGAACTACGCAAACTGTACTTAGTTGTATGTATTGACATACTGTGTTTTGTTTCTGACCTACATCTGTTCTCCTGTATATTCGTGAACGTGTACAGCCATTTTAGTTGCCTGTGGTTCAAATGAACCGTGGTTTTGTTGTGTGATGAAACCGATTTTGTTTGTTTATGCAGAGACTAGCTATTCTCCACCAATTAAGGTATGCAGAGGGTAAATGACTAAAAATACTACTTAACGTCTGCTGACCAAACTTCCATCTTTTGTCAAATGTTTGTCTAAGCTAATGTTGCGTAGTATATATATTGCCAAAAGTCCACTTGTAACAATATGATCTTCCAGGGGTAAGATGGTCCAGGGCGAGAAGGTCCTGCTGTTCTGTTCCATGTCATGCTCTTGTCTTGGGTTCAAATCCCAGATCCATCAACCTCTCTGCTTTCAAGTACCTGTATACTTGGGCTCTGCTCCCACATGACCAGACAGGTGATATGACCAAAACACTACTTGTTAAGGGAGCAACTGTTTGATTTGCAGGAGGGGTCCTAAAATAATAACCAAGCCACTTAAAGAAGTTAGTCCTTGTTTTACTAAATTTCTTTATATGGATCTCACATTGTTGAGTAATAGAATAATGTACACTTTATTTGCAGACAAGCGTCCAATGAATACAGTTTCTCTTTTAATTATCATTATTAAACAAAATTATTGAGGACATGTTTATGTTGGAAAAATAATTGATCTCCTATATAGTATATTGATTAAAGCTAGACTGTTATGTTGGTTTATGTGAGTAAGTGTGACCACTACAAGCAGCAATACATCGTGAAAATTAAGAAATCAAAAATATTTTCAAAAAGCTGCCAGTTGTCTAATGCAAAAAAGAGAGAGCAAAAACACAAGTCATTTATTTTGATCACAGGATATTGTGAAAGACCTACCTCATATAGATCAATCAAAACAATTATGAACTGTTTGAGTAAGATATATCGTGAATGTGTCCACAAACCATATATGGTATTTGATTCTTTTGAGCGGGAAACATGCTCGTTGGTACTCTGCGCAGTCTGTGCTTTGAGTTTGCTAAGGGAGATAACTCTGATTTATTTGTGACATCCGCTTGTTGGTTGATGTTGGTATGCTTGTCAGCTGTGTGCGCATGCCTGTGTGAGTGGACCCTGTACAAAAAAAGACAAAGATTTTGTGTACATACTTCAGTCATGTCTTACGTTTCTCCACTGACTTGTTTGTATAGTTTGCAAAACAAATAAAACCATATAGAAACTACTCGAAACTCTTGTTATTAATGGCCTTGTGGATGTGGAAAGTCGGTGGGTCGATCCCTGGCCGCGTATACAAAACGACGTTAAAAGATGGTACTTGTTACCCTACCTGGCACTCGGCATCAGGGTATAAAACCAGGACCGGTAGGCTCGGAGTCGGTATGCCGTTTCTGAGTGGGGTAGGTGCACACGCACGCACATTCACGCGCGCACCACACACACACACACACACACACACACACACACACGTAAGTGGAGGTCCCTATTTAAGTGTAGTAATCTTGAACGCGACGATAAACCCCATCTCACCTCACCTGTTGTTATTGAACAGACCAGACTGCAAGTATAGACTTGTTTTGTTCTTCATTCTCTGGAAGCACTGGTTGCTCCGTTGTGAAATGCCACATGTCCCGTAGAAAGGGCTTGATATTGAGCTGATTTACTAGTTTCACTCGTTCAAGTGACTATCACATTGCACAACATAATCTGGCAGCAGTCGTTACCCCTATATAAATGTTGCTCGATATCAGATTGTATACCTAATTTCTATTAACCGTAAAAAGACGTATCAAAATAAAATGTGCAATGTTGGACGACCTATATGTTAATCGGTCGGTACTGCAATTAATCGTGCATGTGGGAAATAGTCGAATAGACCTGAACAATGCATGTCATTTCGGTATGTAGAGTTGCGATACTTAAGTGCGCCATAGTCCTATGCTCGTGGGTTCGAATCCCAGATTCGCCCTGGTGATGATACTTGGTTTGTTGGCTCCATGCATTTGCTCCTGAATTTCACCAATCACCAAAGGGCGCACGTCTCAAACCTGCATCACTCCAGGCTTTCCTCCCATAGTGAGCTACCCACGTTAATGGTGAGTAGGGGGTACCGCGGAAAGGCATATATATATATCACAGCTACGCGATAAGTCCCTAAGACCAATGAGGAACAAGGCGTGCCTTATTTCGCGATAAAACATTGTTCTGTCGTTAGTGAGTGAGTTTGGTTTGACGCCGCTTTTTCCAGTTTTCCCCTTATATCACGACGTGTCAGGTTAACGTTTGAGGAAAGCCCGAATCAGGTATCAGACCTTTACAACTTTGGTGAAACCTACGAGCATGGGTATTGTGCTGACAAACCTAGAAACATAATTGGGACGAACCGGGATTCGAACCACGATCAAAGGTTTCTGGCATGCCCAAGGGACACAACTCTGTATAGCGAATTGCGGTGCCTTAGACGACTGGGCCATCCGTGCCCCTGTTCTATCATGATGTGTCAGGGTATGAAACTCCCAAAAATTTCAGCCAGACCACAGGACCGGCTAGCTGAAATACTTGCCAGCCCTGACCAAAACCTGCCTGCCCACTATAATCATGTTTCTCAGGATAAGCTAACGGGGTTTCTTTTTGGTTACATTTTATCATTAATCTTTACATGTGAATTAATGCTTATCATCGGGAAATATTTTGAATATTTTCACATATGAAATATAACCCGACCGTCGGTCAGGGGGATTTGAAAATCTGGCAGCCCGAGTTGAAATCAAGCCGTCTCGGACGGTCGGGCAGGCAGGTATTTCGAACACTGGATGTGTAGATGCATATCAGTGTTAGATGTCCCAGGCTGGACGGAAGATGACGGACTGACTTTGGCAGAACGTCAAGTGCCCCTTTAAGACGCGGAGACCACATAGAGTCCCCGATTACTGCATCGCTAATCCATTTGTTACATCGTCCCTCTACGCATGTATATTTAACGTTGTGAAAATGTCTCAGTTCCGAGTGCGTTGTACAAATTGATCTCAGAGCTGTGGATATTGTTAACATTTAGTGAGTAAAGGATTTCTATACACAACATAGGCAAGGTGATTTTAAAGAGGCATTAGCTGGTGCCAATTTCTAGTCCCGGTCTAGACTCTGTAATTTGTGTAGACGGATATAGCCGGAGTAAAAAGCATTGAGTTGTGACGCACGTTTTGGTCGTTTTATCACAATGTTTGAGGTGAGGTGAAATGGGGTTTAACGTCGCGTCCAAGATTATTGCACTTATATAGCGACGTGTGTGTGTGTGTGTGTGTGTGTGTGTGTGTGTGTGTGCCGACTTTATAGTGCTGTAATGCCATGCCGCAGTTTAACATGAATACCCCACTCAGACACAGTATACTGACGGAAGGTCGATCCACAGCCGCGTCATATCAAAAGACGTTAAACGATGGTATTTGTTGTTACTCTGCCTGGCGCTCGACAATAAAGGGAATAAAACAAGGACTGGTCGGCTCGGAGTCAGTATACTCTTGAGTGGGGTATCCATGTTGAACTGAGGAATGAATATCTCTGTCGGCGTGCACTGTAAAACCGACGTAAGTCCGGGCGAACACACACACACACACACGCACGCACGCACGCACGCACGCACGCACGCACGCACGCACGCACGCACGCACGCACGCACGCACACACACACACACGCACACACGCACACAAACACGCACACCCACACACAAGCACACAAACACACGCACACACAACACGCACAAGTGCATGCACATCACTTTATAAGCGCAAACGTGTAATAATGTTGAACGCAATATTAAAACTTATTTCTCCTCACCTAGTATATGTGACACAGTAGGAGAATAGGTTAGCTACGAATAGACTACGTATATCATTGTTGACGTGGAGCACACGACGTCTTCATGACATGGGAGATCATGACGTCAATGATCTGGAGTGAGTGAGTTGGTTTAACGCCGCTTTGAACAGTATTTCGGTTATATCACACGGTGTCAGCTTGCTGTAGGAGGAAGGACCGAGGCGACAGGGAGATATAGGCGCAACTAGTTTTGCTCTCTAGGAAATTATGAGGCGCGTTATTTGTAAATTTGTGGAAGACGCTTACACACTGATACATACAGCCCGCACTCCGTGGGGTCATAAAATGGTTTGTCTTTGAACCGTAGTCACAGAAGGGACCTATTCCGAACAATTTTTGGAATTAAGGATTAAGCTTTTCGAATAAGTTTTTGATGTACGCTGCGTTTAACCTTCTTTGGAAGGTTCCTTTTGTGGCGAACTTGCAAACAAGACTACCATCACTGATGGTGCCATCCCAGTGGCTTTGAACTAAATCTTCCATTAATGACACTTTGGACTCATGTTTAAGAGTGTGTTTGATGGACATGATATGACATGACTGGCGATTGTTGCATCTCTCGTCTGATTACGTCAGCTGCCTCCCAACGGAGGTGTCGCTCCCGACGAACTTAACGCCAATGTCACACTGCCCTTACGGCGTGAAAACATTTTTTCCGTCTACTTTAAAACATGTTCGCCACATTAGGGTGGGCCTTGACCAGTGGAGCACGCCGCCATACTTCACCCGGAGTGCCTACTCCTTACGCCTGCGCCAATCAACTGTTAAGTAATACAGGCATCAAATGATGCTCTTGACGACTCCACCGCTCGCTGTGAAATGTTCAAAGGTTGTAATCTGTGCTAAAACGTCCACATTTATGTAACGGAGGGACGGCATTATTTGGAGGCACGAGTGCATTGAACCGTGAAGTGATACCCGGCGGATGACTGATCTTTGTAGCACCTTCTGAAGCCGGTGTGTTTGTACAAGAAACACGATAATGCCGCCATAACACGTCCGTGCCAGCCTCGTCAGATGCAACACATTTTGGTGGTGACGGTTGGAGGAGTAAGAGCAGACGACGCTTCCTTCTTTGCCGTCTGCTCTACTATTGTCAGCCGAAAAAAAACATGCGAAAATAATCGCGTAATCTACTAGCATATGTAGTGCTGTTAAATGCTGGGGCGACAGTGGCTGTGTAAGCGGACGTAATGGGAAGGGGGGTCTTTACCGTCTGCTCCTCTATTTTCCAGTTTGTTGATAAAAAAATAGCTGTAGTAGCAAAAAAGCGAGGGTAATATTACTCATGATGGTGGTGGTGTGAATGATGGTGTTGATGTTGATGATGACTCCGCCAACGTCGCCTTCTCTGTTATCAAGTCAAGTAAATGGCACGATGTACGTGTTCTGTTTAATCTTTAAAGAAATCGAGAGTAATAATCGTAACGATAAAAACGATGATATACATGATGATGATGATGGCGACGACGACGACGACTATGACGATGATGGCGACGACGATGACGATGATGGCGACGCGACGACAACAACGAAAACGACGACGACGACGACGACGACGACAACGATGATGATGATGATGATGATGATGATGATTCTTCCTTTACCATCGTGTGTTATTGTTCAGTAATAGAAACACGGGCAGCATAAAGCCCCGACACCATGCAACACTTCCTTGATCGGACTACATATTCAGGAACAATACAAGACGCAGAGGATAATACTCTCTACTAGAGCTAGACATCATGAGAAGAGAACACATTTACTTATTTCAACGTGAGAAAGTTGTCTTCCCAAATTAGTTCAAGGAAGCAGTACGTTTATCAAAATTCAAAAGGACAGGTGCTCCCAGAATGATTGAACGGCTGACATCCCGTCCTCGGTGTCCCAGGACAATGTCTTGATGTCGTCTGCTATTCGTTTCCCAGCGGCTGTAAAATACATGTACCCTATTTCATTACATACGCCCTAAAATTGTAGAGCTCGCAGTCACACAAGGGCAGATCACTCTGATAACCGGTCATTGTCCTTCGGTGCGTCTGCGCACCATGATGTCTTTGGTGAATCTACTCAAGTGCACATTCAACTCGACATAAATAAACACCAAAGCGCTGTTGAATGACGGATGCGAGAGAAGATTGAAAAGAATAACGACCGTCCGGTTATTACATGGCTACCGTATATATTTTCCCTAGTTTCTGTTATTAACTGACTGTTACGATTGATAGTGTAGAGCGAGTTAGTGAGTTGGGTTTTATTCCAACACTACACTGGAGTGTACAAGAATGTTTCCATGTCAGGAGTCGAATCCAGACCCTCTGCGAGCCGAGTGAACTCCTTATCCAATAGGTTCCTCCCTGCCTTGTTATGGCATATGTAAATATACTGAACAGGGATTATGAATAATTTTGGGAATATTTTTTGTAGTCAGACTGACCACACAATTTCATGAAAATAAAAAAAAATGTCTAGAAACTGTTCTTGGGCCTGGGTAGGGTTCAAGGACTGGTAGGGTTCAAGGACTGGTAGGGTTCAAGGACTGGTAGGGTTCAAGGACTGGGTTGGATTCAAGGACTGGGCCGGGTTCAAGGACTGGGTAGGGTTCAAGTACTGGGTAGGGTTCAAGGACTGGTTAGGGTTCAAGGACTGGGTTGGGTTCAAGGACTGGGTTGGGTTCAAGGACTGTGTTGGGTTCAAGGACTGGGTTGGGTTCAAGGACTGGGTAGTGTTCAAGGACTGGGTTGGGTTCAAGGACTGGACTGGGTTCAAGGACTGGGTTGGGTTCAAGGACTGGGTAGGGTTCAAGGACTGGGTTGGGTGCAAGGACTGGGCTGGGTTCAAGGACTTGGTTGGGTTCAAGGACTGGGCTGGGTTCAAGGACTGGGTTGGGTTCAAGGACTGGGTTGGGTTCAAGGACTGGGTTGGGTTCAAGGACTGGGCAGTGTTCAAGGACTGGGTAGGGTTCAAGGACTGGGTTGGGTGCAAGGACTGGGCTGGGTTCAAGGACTTGGTGGGGTTCAAGGACTGGGCTGGGTTCAAGGACTGGGTTGGGTTCAAGGACTGGGTAGTGTTCAAGGACTTGTTTGGGCTCTAGGACTGGGTTGGGTTCAAGGACTGGGTAGTGTTCAAGGACTGGTTTGGGTTCTAGGACTGGGTGGGGTTTAAGGACTTGGCTGGGTTCAAGGACTGTGTTGGGTTCAAGGACTGGGTAGGGTTCAAGGACTTGGCTGGGTTCAAGGACTGAGTAGGGTTCAAGGACTGGGTAGTGTTCAAGGACTGTGTTGGGTTCAAGGACTGGGTAGGGTTCAAGGACTGAGTAGGGTTCAAGGACTGGATTGGGTTCAAGGACTAGGCTGGGTTCAAGGACTGGGTTGGGTTCAAGGACTGGGTAGTGCTCAAGGACTGGGCTAGGTTCAAGGACTGGGTTGGGTGCAAGGACTGGGCTGGGTTCAAGGACTTGGTTGGGTTCAAGGACTGGGCTGGGTTCAAGGACTGGGTTGGGTTCAAGGACAGGGTTGGGTTCAAGGACTGGGTTGGGTTCAAGGACTGGGCAGTGTTCAAGGACTGGGTAGGGTTCAAGGACTGGGTTGGGTGCAAGGACTGGGCTGGGTTCAAGGACTTGGTGGGGTTCAAGGACTGGGCTGGGTTCAAGGACTGGGTTGGGTTCAAGGACTGGGTAGTGTTCAAGGACTTGTTTGGGCTCTAGGACTGGGTTGGGTTCAAGGACTGGGTAGTGTTCAAGGACTGGTTTGGGTTCTAGGACTGGGTGGGGTTTAAGGACTTGGCTGGGTTCAAGGACTGTGTTGGGTTCAAGGACTGGGTAGGGTTCAAGGACTTGGCTGGGTTCAAGGACTGAGTAGGGTTCAAGGACTGGGTAGTGTTCAAGGACTGGGTTGGGTTCAAGGACTGGGTAGGGTTCAAGGACTGAGTAGGGTTCAAGGACTGGATTGGGTTCAAGGACTAGGCTGGGTTCAAGGACTGTGTTGGGTTCAAGGACTGGGTAGTGCTCAAGGACTGGGCTAGGTTCAAGGACTGGGTAGGGTTCAAGGACTGGGTAGGGTTCAAGGACTGGATTAGGTTCAAGGACTGGGTTGGGTTCTAGGACTAGGTTGGGTTCAAGGACTTGGTAGGGTTCAAGGACTGGCAAGGGTTCAAGGACTGGGTAGGATATGAAATATACCATGTCAACCGAACTATACTGCACCTCCGCATGTTTGGACATAAAGGTATTGATGCCACCATTGGTACCGGTTCCACAGACGTACCATGGACCTACTGAGAAGTAAACTATAATAGCAAACACCACGTCAAACACAACTGTGATTGTATACAATTAGATATCACTGAACAGTAATAATAATTATGAGGATACGGAGCTACAAGCTTTCCAATTAATTAGTCTAATCAGAACTTGAATAGTCCCATGCCGCAGTTTAACACACAGTATATACTGACTCCAAGCCGACATTCCTTGTTTCGTTCCTTTAACGCCCGGGGGCACGAGTGGCCCAGTCGTCTAAGGCGCTGCGATTCGCTGTGCAGAGTTGCGTCCCTTGGGCATGCCAGAAACCTATGATTGTGGGTTCGAATCCCGGTTCGCCCCGATTATGCTTCTAGGTTTGTCAGCACCATACTGTGCGCGTGGGTTTCACCGAAGTGGTAAACGTCTAAGACCTGCATCACTTCGGGCTTTCCTCCCACATTAAGCTGACACGCCGCGATATAACTGGAATACTGTTAAAAGCGGCGTTAAAACCAACTCACTCACTCCTTTAACGCCTAGTGCCAGGCAGGGTAACAGCAAGTACGACGTAACGTCTTTTTGGCATGACGCAGCTGAGGACCGAACCACTGACCTTCTGCTCTCCGGGCAGACGCTCTATCCATTACACCAAAGCGCCTTACAGACCACAACACTACCTCAGACTAATGGCACAGGGTTCGAAATACACATACGCCTTGTCTGAAACCACGGTGAGGTGAGGTGAAATGGGGTTTAATGTCGCGTCCAAGATTATTGCACTTATATAGCGAAGTGCATGCACGTGTCTGTGTGTGTGTGTGTGTGTGTGTGTGTGTGTGTGTGGCTGCTTGTACTGGTCCGGACTGATGCCGATCTACGGTGCTAGAACACTGAGATATCATGCAGTAGTTTAACATGAATATCCCACTCAGACACAGTATACTGACTCCGAGCCGACCAGTCCTTGTTTTTGCCCCTTAATGCCGAGCGCCACACAGGGTAAGTACAAGTACCATCTTTTAACGTCTTTTGGTATGACGCAGCCGGGTATCGAACCCCGGACCTTCCGCTCTCCGGGCGGACGCTCTACCACTAGACCACGGAGGCGGTCTCTGAAACCACGGAGGTGGTCTGTGTACTTGAAAGACTATGAAAGAAGGTTCCCAATCACAATTTAATAGTGAGTGAGTGAGTGAGTGAGTTGGGTATAACGCCGCTTTTAACATTATTCCAGTTATATCACGGCGTGTCAGATTAATGTGGGAGGAAAGCCCGAAGTGATGCAGGTCTCAGACATTTACCACTTCGGTGAAACCCACGAGCACGAGTATGGTCCTGACAAACCTTGAAACATAATCGGGGCGAACCGGGATTCGAACCCACAATCATAGGTTTCTGGCGTGCCCAAAGGACGCAACTCTGCCTTAAACGACTTGGCCATCCGTGCCCCACACAATTTAATATATTAAATTACTACATTACTGCTGTATTTCAGAGAATGGCGAGCAGCATGTTTGTGTGAGGCGGAACTATGACCAGTCACTCTTACATCCGTATTTCGAATACAAATTTAGTACTTGTCCAGGTGCAGGGACAAAATACCAGATCTATTTTCCCACGTCAGCTTCCAGTGAGATTTTCGGGTAGAATCGGTCCTCAGTAGTCCATGTTTGAAAGAGTCGGTCAGAATGGGGATCTGGTGGTTACATGGTGTCGTCTGGCTTTAAGTGTGACATCATACCTTGGTGACGTTGTATTCTATCAACCACTGGTTTGTCTGCTCCAGACTCGATGTTTGGTAGGCCGTCGTGATGAAGTAATAATACCACTTCCTCTCGTGTTGCCTTTGTCTGTTTGTTGTCTTACGCCACATTCAGCATCATTCCACCTATGTGACGGTGGTCTGTAAATAATTGAGTCTGGACCAGACAATCCAGCGATTGATATCATGAGCACTGATCCAAGTCAGCGAACCTGACCACCCGATCCCGTTAGTCGCCTCTTATGACAAGCCTGCGTTGCTAAAGACTTATTGTAACCCTAATCTTCATGGTTCACTTGCTCGCATTCCGGGGTAGAATAGGTCTTCAGCAACCCATGCTTGCAGTAAAAGGCGATTATGCTTGTCGTAAAAGGCGACTAACGGGATCGGGTGGTCAGGCTCGCTGACTTGGTTGATGCATGTCATTGATCCCAATTGCGTGGATCGATGCTCATGATATCAATCACAGGATTGTCTGGTCCAGATTCGATTATTTACAGACCGCCGTCATATGGCTGGAATATTGCGTTAAACAACAAACCAACCAACCAACTCTTGCTCGCAACTGTCAAATCCCACCACTTAGGCATCGCAGGTGATTGTGCAGAGGTGCGCTACTTAGACGTGCCAGAAACCTATGATCATGGGTTCAAATCCCGGTTCGCCCCGATTATGCTTCAAGGTTTGTCAGCACCATGCCCGTGTTCGTGGTTTTCACCCAAGTGGTAAACGTCTAAGACCTGCATCACTTCGGGCTCCTACATCAAGCTGACACGCCGTGATTTACACGATGTCAAACCAACTCATTCGTTCGTTGTATCAGATGCAGTCCTGAATGCACGTCATCCCCCATGCGGAAATCTGCAGAAATTCTGCCACGGGAAGTGAAAAATTCAAACACTGGCAACACTGGTTTATTGGGAGAAGCAACTTACATGATGTGTTGACGATGATGGGGTCTACTTGTTTGTCTCTGTAACCTGCTGCAATGAATAGATTGGATTTTATGTTTAATTCACACATCTCTAATAAACACACTTGTATTGTCATCATTTTAGATCAAACATAGAATTAAATCTCCCCAACCACCCGTACATGTTTCTTAATACAGTAACCCGTGGGGTTCCGGTTAAGTATATATGTGTTCCCAACACACCGTGCTTGTAAGAAGCGACTTAATGAGTTGTGAGGTCAGGCTCGGTGACTTAGTCGATATGTGTCATCTTAGATGCTCCTGATGTCAATCATTGGATTGTCTTGTCCAGACTCCATTTCCAGAGTACGAAGTTAAACGACAAAGAAACAAAGAACAATAACAACAAACTAAAACCACACATACAGGTGCCTGTATATATCTGAGTGAGTGAGTGAGTGAGTGAGTGAGTGAGTGAGTGTTTTACCCGGGGCTTCGGTGGTATGATTGAATGACTCAACAACTGGGCACACTCCTCCTTTATAAACCTCTAACTATGTCACTCTGTTATAAACATAAAAGGAGTTTTTTCGGCAGAATGCCCGGGTAAGCGGTAAGTGGGCATTCCAGCTTAAGTATGCCCGGGTAAGTGGGCATTCCAGCTTAAGTATGCCCGGTCAAGCGGTAAGTGGGCATTTCAGCTTAAGTATGCCCGGTCAAGCGGGTATTCCAGCTTAAGTATGCCCGGGTAAGCGGTAAGTGGGCATTCCAGCTGAAGTATGCCCGGGTAAGCGGGTATTCCAGCTTAAGTATGCCCGGGTAAGCGGTAAGTGGGCATTCCAGCTTAAGTATGCCCGGGTAAGCGGTAAGTGGGCATTCCAGCTTAAGTATGCCCGGGTAAGCGGGTATTCCAGCTTAAGTATGCCCGGGTAAGCGGTAAGTGGGCATTCCAGCTTAAGTATGCCAGGGTAAGCGGGTATTCCAGCTTAAGTATGCCCGGGTAAGCGCTAAGTGGGCATTCCAGCTTAAGTATGCCCGGGTAAGCGGTTAGTGGGCATTCCAGCTTAAGTATGCCCGGGTAAGCGGGTATTCCAGCTTAATTATGCCAGGGTAAGCGGTAAGTGGGCATTCCAGCTTAAGTATGCCCGGGTAAGCGGTAAGTGGGCATTCCAGCTAGAGTATGCCCGGTCAAGCGGGTATCCCAGCTTAAGTATGCCCGGGTAAGCGGGCATTCCAGCTTAAGTATGCCCGGGTAAGCGGGCATTCCAGCTTAAGTATGCCCGGGTAAGCGGTCATTCCAGCTTAAGTATGCCCGGGGTAAGCGGGCATTCCAGCTTAAGTATGCCCGGGTAAGCGGGTATTCCAGCTTAAGCATGCCCGGGTAAGCGGGCATTCCAGCTTAAGTATGCCTGGGTAAGCGGGCATTCCAGCTTAAGTATGCCTGGGTAAGCAGGCATTCCAGCTTACGTATGCCCGGGTAAGCGGGCATTCAACGAACTTTAACGTTTTTATAAACTTGCCTCTTAATGTGAACAGACCCGTGAATATCCGGGGTAGAATAGGTCTGCAGCAACCCATGCTTACCGTTAAAGGCGACTATATGCTTGTGGGAAGAGGCGACTAACGGGATCGGGTGGTCAGTCTTGCTGACTTGGTTGGAGCATGTCATCGATCCCAATTGCATGGATCGATGCTCATAATATCAATCACTGGATTGTCTGGTACAGACTCGATTATTTACAGACCGCCGTCATATAGCTGGAATATTGTTGATTGCGGCGTCAAAAACCAACCAACCAACCAACCTTCATGTGAACACAATTGTGTTTGATAATTGGTTAAAAGTCAGAAATTTGTTTAAAACAAAAAACATATTCCATTACGAGAATCGAACCTGCAACTCATATATCGTGAGTAACTATTGTAATCCACTGTTTTCCCACTGAGCTACTGGGCACGTGGTGAGACTATGTTCAGTTTATCATGTCATTACTCCATTTAGTCCATGCTGCACGTGTTTGTTTCTCTCGCACGCCTTTCACACCGCGATACACTGTATTATTTCACTATAAGGTACGTCGATGTTTTTTCAATTTTTCTGGTATTTCTTGCTTATCATAAGTAGGATATAAACAGCCCCCCCCCCCCCCCCCCCCCGGTCTTGACGGAGAATGTTAGCCCGGGGAGTAGGGAAATTTAGGATATGTACTGCATTATATTTAAGTTAAGAGCTATGAAACGGGATGAGTATTGGAAGGTTGCGGTTTTGTCATCCAGAAGTATTTGTTGTTCTACAGATGGTTTCTTGAGGTAGCATTTATCTCCGCTGATGACGTATATGAATCTGTACTTTTGAATATTGTGTTATGTCTTGCTACGAACCCGTTACACTTAGTCAAGATGGGTACAACAGGGTTGAGCTCACTATGTCTGACTGGCGTACGTAAGACAACGTAACCGTGTTGTGCCGCCAGCACATGTCTTGTACTTTACTGGTTTCTTATTCAGTCGGGGGCCCGGGTGGCTCAGTCGTCAAAGGCGCCGCGATTCGCTGTGCAGAGTTGCGTCCCTTGGGCACGCCAGAAACCTATGATTGTGGGTTCGAATCCCGGTTCGCCCCGATTATGTTTCTAGGTTTGTCAGCACCATACCCGTGCTCGTGGGATTCACCGGAGTGGTAAACGTCTGAGACCTGCATCACTTCGGGCTTTCCTCCCACATTAAGCTGACACGCCGTGATATAACTGGAATACTGTTAAAAGCGGTGTTAGACCCAACTCACTCACTCACTCACTTATTCAGTCGAATTTTGAGTTGAACTTTGGTTTCATATGGTCTGAAGTCGACAATGTCATATATTCCTGTATGGTCGCCTTCATGGTTTGGGCGAAAGTATCTGATTCCAGGACGTTATATTAATTGACAATGACAATAACACTGGCGTTGTTTAAAATGGGCAATAGCTGAAGTTCCAACCAGTCTTTGAGCACATCACCTCCTATAATTTCCTTATGAAAATCACCAGTTTTCTTTTTCGCCTCGAAAACTAACACACATCCATCAATAAGCCCATATCATGGGTTGCAGCGTGCAAAACAATGCCATGATTAACTTTACCTAATGGTACCATTTACCAAGGTAAATTATCTGGACGCCCTGACTGTGATAGTTATGAATAGTTCGGAGATAATGTGACCTCATAGACAGAATGGAATATGTTTCCCTGAAAAGTGCTCGGTCATCGTCACGCGCAGTGTATCGAAATCCCATCTCTTGGAGAGCAATAGTTAGTGCAGTCCGGGAAACATTGTATCTTTAATTCCTCCCAAATTCTATTTTAAGTCCGGGTTACCTTCTGCTCATAAAGCTTGTACACTATACGCCTAATCACCCTGTATCAAAGCTGTCTAATATCCTTTTACTTCCCAGTTTTGTTTTTGAGACCACCCCTATACCTGTTTTGTTTTATCATCCCGTAGAATTAGTAGTATGAATTTTTTCTCCAAAGTGTAAAGAACTTGTATACATTTCCCAGTACAGACTTTATATAGTGTACCATGGCTGTGGCTATGCAAGTTTAATGTAACATGCATCATGGGAGTCATTTTGTCCTTTTAGAAGATGCACATCTAGAATTTTCTCAAAATGATTTTTTGTGTGTGGAATAAATGTTTTATGAAGACTACATTATTATCATTATAACGAAGTCACGTGCGCATATTTATATAGTCCGTTTCAGACTGCCATCATTGGACTTAGAATAAATGTGAACTGGTTTTGTTCGAATTTGTCTCCTGTAAACTTGTCGATAAGATTCCTTGTGACTGAAATACTTCAAACCACAGGTAGGGCGATCGGTAGTTACTCGATACTTCAATAACAACAGTCTGTGAAAAATTGTATCCTTTTTTAACAGGCAAAAAGCAGTTTTCGAGCATTTCCGACAGTACTTCAGGCTTGGTGATATGGTTAGTTGCGTGCCACCATTCCCCGACGGCGTGATATGCTGTTCATGATATCGACCACTGGTTGTTTTAGTCAGCGCTCAAAGGAGCAGCCAAAACGTTTTTGGAGACGATGTTTCTTTTGCAAAATGGGTGAAGCCCGTTTCTGTTGTTCTCCAGCCGTGATATTGCTCGAATATTGCTAAAAGCGGCGTAAAACCATACTCACTCACCCTTACAACGAGAGCTTACAAACCACATGGACATCATCCTCACTGGTAGTTTTTTGTTTGTTTGTTTGTTTGTTTGGTTGATATCACGAGCATCGATCTACGCCTTGAGACATGCATCAATCTACTCAGTGAGCCTGACCACCCGACCCCGTTAGTCGCCTCTTACGACAAGCATAGTCGCCCCTCATGGGTTGATGAAGATCTATTCTAACCCGGAATCTTCAAGGGTCCCTCACTGGAGACCGCCTCCGTGGTCTAGTGGTAGAGCGTCCTCCCGGAGAGCGGAAGGTCCGGGGTTCGATCCCCGGCCGCGTCAAACCAAAAGCCGTAAAAAGATGGTACTTGTTGTTACCCTGTATGGCGCTCGGCATCAAGGGGCTAAAGCAAGGACTGGTCGGCTCGGAGTCAGTATACTGTGTCTGATCGGGATATTCATGTTAAACTGCAGCATGGTATTTCAGTGGGCTAGCACTATAAATCGGCATCAGTCAGGACCAGTACAAGCAGCCACACACACACCACACACGTCCATGCACGTCGCTATATAAGTGCAATAATCTTGGACGCGACGTTAAACCCAATTTCACCTCACCTCACCCTCACTGGAAGTAACTGCATGAACAGTGACTCGAGTGGTCGAGGTTAGGTCGAGAACACAGGAGATATGAACCATGTCAAACGGCAGGATATGGCGGGTCCTATTTCGATTGGGCCGATCCTGTCATCGTCGGTATCAATGTGATCTTTGACCTACAAAAACGAAAGTAAACGCACTGTAAGTATACTGAATGTTTCAGCATAACACCTCAGTACCAAGGTAATAACCTTGTATGTTCCTACTTCGACCTGAACTACAAATATGCTATCTGTGCATGGTTCTAAAAGATCAGTCAGTGCAATGTATCTCACATTATTGTGACCGCCTCCGTGGTGTAGTGGGGAGAGTGTCTGCCTGGGGAGCGGGAGGCCGGTGCGGCAGAATTAAATCACTTTCCTAAAATTTCACCGAAGAGTGATTCTGTGACAGGGTGACAGAATCACTCTTGGGTGACCCGATCCTAGGACTGACACACTCCAGAGTGAAATTATCCTCGGATCATATCACCTCCTCTCTCAATCAGAATCAAAACACTCCCTTCAGGATAAGATCAATCCCCCTTAGAAATGTCCGTGGGGGGTATTGCCCATGTGGGGAAATGTCCTTGTGGGGTCGAATCAAAACACTCCCTTCAGGATAAGATCAATCTCCCTTAGGACCTTTTCTAACCCGGAATACCCACGTGGAGACAAGCATAGGTTACTGGGGACCTATTCTAACCCGGAATACCCGCGTGGAGACAAGCATAGGTTACTGGGGACCTATTCTAACCCGGAATACCCACGTGGAGACAAGCAAAGGTTACTGGGAACCTATTCTAACCCGGAATACCCACGTGGAGACAAGCATAGGTTACTGGGGACCTATTCTAACCCGGAATACCCACGTGGAGACAAGCATAGGTTACTGGGATCCTATTCTAACCCGGAATACCCACGTGGAGACAAGCATAGGTTACTGGGGACCTATTCTAACCCGGAATACCCACGTGGAGACAAGCAAAGGTTACTGGGGACCTATTCTAACCCGGAATTTCCACGTGGAAACAAGCATAGGTTACTGGGGACCTATTCTAACCCGGAATACCCACGTGGAGACAAGCATAGGTTACTGGGGACCTATTCTAACCCGGAATACCCACGTGGAGACAAGCAAAGGTTACTGGGGACCTATTCTAACCCGGAATTTCCACGTGGAAACAAGCATAGGTTACTGGGGACCTATTCTAACCCGGAATACCCGCGTGGAGACAAGCATAGGTTACTGGGGACCTATTCTAACCCGGAATACCCACGTGGAGACAAGCAAAGGTTACTGGGAACCTATTCTAACCCGGAATACCCACGTGGAGACAAGCATAGGTTACTGGGGACCTATTCTAACCCGGAATACCCACGTGGAGACAAGCATAGGTTACTGGGAACCTATTCTAACCCGGAATACCCACGTGGAGACAAGCATAGGTTACTGGGGACCTATTCTAACCCGGAATACCCACGTGGAGACAAGCAAAGGTTACTGGGGACCTATTCTAACCCGGAATTTCCACGTGGAAACAAGCATAGGTTACTGGGGACCTATTCTAACCCGGAATACCCACGTGGAGACAAGCATAGGTTACTGGGGACCTATTCTAACCCGGAATACCCACGTGGAGACAAGCAAAGGTTACTGGGGACCTATTCTAACCCGGAATTTCCACGTGGAAACAAGCATAGGTTACTGGGGACCTATTCTAACCCGGAATACCCGCGTGGAGACAAGCATAGGTTACTGGGGACCTATTCTAACCCGGAATACCCGCGCGGAGACAAGCATAGGTCACTTGGATCTATTCTAACACGGAATACCCGCGTGGAGACAAGCATAGGTTATTGGGGACCTATTCTAACCCGGAATACCCACGTGGAGACAAACATAAGTTACTGGGGACCTATTCTAACCCGGAATACCCACGTGGAGACAAACATAGGTTACTGGGGACCTATTCTAACCCGGAATATCCACGTGGAGACAAGCATAGGTTACTGGGGAGCTATTCTTACCCGGAATATCCACGTGGAGACAAGCATAGGTTACTGTGGACCTATTCTAACCCGGAATATCCACGTGGAGACAAGCATAGGTTACTGGGGAGCTATTCTTACCCGGAATACCCACGTGGAGACAAGCAAAGGTTACTGGGGACTATTCTAACCCGGAATTTCCACGTGGAAACAAGCATAGGTTACTGTGGACCTATTCTAACCCGGAATATCCACGTGGAGACAAGCATAGGTTACTGGGGAGCTATTCTTACCCGGAATACCCACGTGGAGACAAGCAAAGGTTACTGGGGACTATTCTAACCCGGAATTTCCACGTGGAAACAAGCATAGGTTACTGGGGACCAATTCTAACCCGGAATACCCACGTGGAGACAAGCATAGGTTACTGGGGACCTATTCTAACCCGGAGTCTACAGGGAGACAAGCATAGGTTACTAGGGAGCTATTCTTACCCGGAATATCCACGTGGAGACAAGCATAGGTTACTGGTGACCTATTCTAACCCGGAGTCTACAGGGAGACAAGCATAGGTTACTGGGGACCTATTCTAACCCGGAATACCCACGTGGAGACAAGCAAAGGTTACTGGGGACCTATTCTAACCCGGAGTCTACAGGGAGAGTACCTCTGAAGTAGAAGCAATAGCATTCAACACTCACGAATCTCTGAAGGGCTCAATCTCCTAGTGAAGTCCTCACTCTACAGCTGTCGTGTCTCGCCATCTGAATGAACTTTCTCATTGACATCGGGCATAAAAAACTTTCAAATTAAATCATATTCAAATAATGGAAACATGTGAATAATTTGATCTTAACTGTAATCACCCGAAAACTTCCCCGATCAACGAATCCCAACCCTATTTACTGTTAACTACCAATAGAAAATGTATTAATAATACAGGGCCTTAAACGCAAACATTCTAAACGCATTAGCCCCGAATTCAGCTTGGCGAATGTACTGTATAAATCAAAGACACTGGGCCTGCATAACTGGGTTACACAACGCGTATTATTTATTTAACGACCATCTATTGTTTAAAACAAATTGATCAGACATTTATAAGAATTTACCCCATAGCGACGACAAATTTAAAAGGAAGTATTCCGTTCCTATTTAACAACATCTTGAACGTCACGGAAACGTTGTCTCTATTCAAAATAAAGAAAGAAGCCTTCTTCGACAGCCACATCCCAAGGTGGTCATAAACCATGCTTGACAATGATGTCGTTGTGTCGCCTCGTCGCCGGCACGTCATGACAACAGCGATCTGGGTCCGCACGTCCCCAGGGGAACGACGCCTAAGTAGGGTCATCGATCATCCAGTTTCTCAGTGTGGGACTAATTGTGACAAATATTAGGTATTAATGAGACTCGTCCGTTTGGCCTTAATACGAAATGTGATTGCAACTACCAAACGCTTCAAAGAAATGTTATATTTCAAACTCATTCAATTGCCCCGCTCTCGTTGTCCCGGCGAGGGCTAGTGTGAGCGTAGCGTGGCAATGTGATAAGTGTATATCTAGTTTTATGAGAGATTTCCGGATGGATCAACGATTAAACTCAGGTAGATCAAATGTGTGATGACCTTTACTGGCAGAACACATTGTCATATAAACGCTAAACGCTAAGGTCAGAAAACATATGAACTCACTTATTTGACTTATAATATACCAGTGAAGATCCGGGTTAGAATTGGTCTTCAGCAACCCATGCTTGTCATAAGAGGCGACTAACGGGATCGAGTGGTCAGGCATGGTTGATGCATGTCATTGTATCCCAATTGTGTAGATCGATGCTCATGATATCAATCACTCGATCGTCTGGCCCACAATGCAAAAAGATCTAACAATGTATAAGTACGACAACGTGACGAACCCCGACGACGTGCAACGGTGCTCATGCAGTCATCCACTAGTTTGCCTGGCCCAAGTACTATTATTATTTACTTGCCACCGTAATATATCTTGAACATCGCTGACTACGGAGTAAAATAACATTCATCCATTGTATGCTGACTGTGGCACACAGACACTTAAAGCAAGACTCGCCTGAACTGGATTCGCTGTTAATGCTCTAGTTCACCGAAACAATCACACAAATAAACTAAGCGTCGTGGTGAAATATTTATTAGGGAGTTTTCTTTCCGCATTGCGCAAGTCAACGGGCCCCATACTATATGACTAACAGTAGACGTCAGTGTACATCGTGCTATATGACTAACAGTAAGAGGTGAGGTGAGGTGAGGTGAGGTGATATAGCGATGGGCATGCACGTGTGTGTGTGTGTGTGTGTGTGTGTGTGTGTGTGTGTGTGTGTGTGTGTGTGTGTGTGTGTGTCTGCTTGTACTAGTCCGGACTGATGCCGACTGATAGTGCTAGCTCACTGAGATACCATGCCGCAGTTTAACATGGATACCCCAATCAGGCTCAGGTTACTGATTCCGAGCCGACAAGTCCTTGTTTTAGCCCCTCAATGCCGAGCGCCAGACGGGGTAACAACAAGAACCATCTTTTAATGTCTTTTGGTATGACGCGGCCGGGGATCGAACCACTAGGGCAGACCCTGAATGCCAAATACCATAACCTCTCCGGGCTGACGCTCTTCCACTAGACCACGAAGGCGGTCAACAGTAAGAGAAGTCATACACAACGTAACACGGATAAGAAAGTATTAGAGTGTAATTCATGGCCAATTCATACTATATAACTAACATTAGGAGAAGGCACCTTCCACCGAAGGACTAAGTGGACATGAATTACACTATGACACTTTCTAATCCGTAGGACGTTGTGTGGACATGAATTACGCTCTAACACTTTCTTATCCGTATGACATTGTGTGGACATGAATTACGCTCTAACACTTTCTTATCCGTATGACATTGTGTGGACATGAATTACGCTCTAACACTTTCTTATCCGTATGACATTGTGTGGACATGAATTACGCTCTAACACTTTCTTATCCGTATGACATTGTGTGGACATGAATTACGCTCTAACACTTTCTTATCCGTATGACATTGTGTGGACATGAATTACGCTCTAACACTTTCTTATCCGTATGACATTGTGTGGACATGAATTACGCTCTAACACTTTCTTATCCGTATGACATTGTGTGGACATGAATTACGCTCTAACACTTTCTTATCCGTATGACATTGTGTGGACATGAATTACACTCTAACACTTTCTTATCCGTATGACATTGTGTGGACATGAATTACACTCTAACACTTTCTTATCCGTATGACATTGTGTGGACATGAATTACACTCTAACACTTTCTTATCCGTATGACATTGTGTGGACATGAATTACACTCTAACACTTTCTTATCCGTATGACATTGTGTGGACATGAATTACGCTCTAACACTTTCTTATCCGTATGACATTGTGTGGACATAAATTACACTCTAACACTTTCTTATCCGTATGACATTGTGTGGACATGAATTACGCTCTAACACCTTCTTATCCGTATGACATTGTGTGGACATGAATTACGCTCTAACACTTTCTTATCCGTATGACATTGTGTGGACATGAATTACGCTCTAACACTTTCTTATCCGTATGACATTGTGTGGACATAAATCTATCCATAACACTTTCAGATTTACATTTGTTCAGATATGAAATTATACTTTAACACTTTTAATATTCTATCCTTAAGCCGTTGATATTGTTTGCAAAATTCATTGTGCTTAACAACACATATGATATATATACATATTTACTAAAAAATTATCAACATTTTCGAAAAATGTTAATATTCCTCTAACATTCCTGTAAAATTGATGGCGTGAATGTCACCAACTCACTCACCCAGCCGCTTCATCAGTCATCAACTGAAGTCGTTTTCTTCACCGATTCATTCATAGCGTGAGACGCAACATCGAACGCAAATCCGGTCACTTTTTGAGCTGAAGTATATGAATGTAAGAGAGACCGTTTTAATTCATACTAGATAATTTCCTTCTTTCATTTCTCTCTACTAAATCATTAATCCAAACAAACGTGTCACAAAAATAGACTGTAAATACTAATACTGGATATTTTAACGCATATTCACTAAGGGCGTCAATGATTTTTTTTTACTAAGTAGATTACAAAACATAGTCGGATTTCTATCAGTTTCTATTCGTTCTGAGCTCCCACAACGTGCTGTTAATTCATGCACATTATGTATGACGAGATTAAAACGTCACGGATAATTCAGAAGATCCTTTCATAAACCATTAATTAGATATGATACGTCCCCGTTGGACCCTTCGGCCATAGACGGAAGTGACAGCTCCGCAGTCGGGTAGTGTCGTGTGCAAAACTCTTCGCATTTCATCTCCGATATTTTAGCCGCTTAACTTTGGCGAATTTGACATAATGTGAAAAAACTAGTTGAGGATAAACTATTGACATTTGAGAAACGCTTTCAATCGCCAAGGCGCTTATGTCGGTAATACTAAACCGCCAAGTTCTTGAATTATGTTGGCCCCGTCATACCGACAGGAATCGGCTGCGTATGACCCAATGGATATATTTAGCGCCAATGATATTAATACACACACGCGATTTGATCTAATTAACGCTTTATTAAAGAATGGTGCTATCAATGCATTAGGACAACATTGGAAGCAAATATTTCCAAAGCCTAAACATACACTGATTCAATTACGACAACTATAAAGGCTGAGATAGATCATTTTAGTTAAAGTTAGATCATTCATTTTATATATGACTCTTGTCTAGGTGTATCTATAAGTTCGTTACCCAGGGTTTTGGGAAACATAACCGGGGCAGTCAATGCATAGATATTTAAAAATACTTCATTTCAAAATCATATCCGAATGCGACCCGTGAAGATCCGGGGTAGAATAGGTCTTCAGCAACCCACGCTTGCCGTAAAAGACGACTATACTGTCGGAAGAGGCGACTAACGAGATCGGGTGGTCAGGCTCGCTGACTTGGTTGATGCATGTCATCGATCCCAATTGCGTGGATCGATGCTCATGATATTAATCTGGATTGTCTGGTCCAGACTTGATTATTTACAGACCGCCGTCATATAGCTTGAATATTGCTGAGTGCGGCGTTGAACAACCAACAAACAAAATCATATCCGAATGTAATTAGTCACATTCTTAATTATTGGAAACGAATGTCCAAATAAGCTTTTTTCTCGCTCGCTTTACGAAAATGCAAACCAGCATAACCTTCAAGACATGCTCAAGAAATTCAACGTCTTTTCTTAGCCCTGGAAGTCACCATTTGCCATATTTCCTTGTCAAGTAGACAGAGATACCCTTGGATGGCCCGATGACCCTGTTAATGGCACGTTAGGCGCAGCATGCATGAACGAACCCGTGTTGCATTATGTCTTTTCGGGCCTGTAAGTTCCTGACAAGTTGCACTTGTAAACTGAACGAATTTATTTAACTAGAAAGACGGATTTGGTGTACGTTCGGCTGTAGCACTGTGAGTAAACGCACCATGGCTTGTGAGCTGAGGGGGTTGAACGTCGCGTTCTCGATTATAGCACTTTATTGTATTTCCAGTGACCAGCACTGTTAATCATTCCAGAAGAAACTAACATTTCGTTTGTTTGTTTGTTTGTTGTTTAACGACGCACTCGGCAATATTCCAGCTATATGAAGGCGGTCTGCAAATAAGCGACTCTGGACCAGACAATCCAGTGATTGACACCATGAGCATCGATCCACGCAATTGGGATACAATGACATGCATTAACCAAGTCAGCGCGCCCGTCAACCCAATCCTTTAAGTCGCCTCTTACGACTAACATAGTCGCCTTTTACAAGCATTGGATGCTGAAGACCTAATTTTAACAATTTCCTCGAAGTTCGCCAACATTTGTGGGATTCGAACCCCTGTGTGAGAATGATCAGCAAGGCTGTGACGTTTAGAGCTATTAACACCTTGTCCTCCAAGTCACTAGACATGTCTATTTATGTGGATGAGACTCAAGCGTACACTTTTGTCGGTTTAAGACATGCTTACCCTTTTCGCGAACACCTGGTGTCATCACTGATTTTCAGTGGCCCATTCATATAATTTCCACAGCTATTTCTCTTTACGTCAAGCGGAAGGCTTATTATTCTCTTGCATTGGCAATTTTGTATTTACAGCGCTAGCCGACAGAGATATCACTCCTCAGTTCAACTTGGAAACCACACTCAGACAGAGTATACTAACCCCGAGCAGACAAGTACTTCTTTTATCCCCTGAATGTCGAGCGCCAGGCAGGGTAACAAGAAGAAACTCTCTAAGCGTGTTTTGGTATGTCGTGGCCAGTGGATCGAACCACGGACCATCTGCGCCCTGGACAGACGCTCTACCACTAGACTACCCGTGGAATGGCAGCGGCTACTTACATTATCCATATCCCTTGCATTGATGTGTCGTGTATGATGAAATATCCCCGTGTTATGGGTTTTCGGACGCCAAAGAAACATTCGTAGTTTTCTCGCTTTATCACATGGACATCTGTAAAACATCTCAACACTTATAAAAGACACCTTTATCTGACAAACAAGCCATAATCCGAGTATTTACAATGTCTCAGTGACGCATCACCCCTCGTTCCAGCCATAAACAACGCCGTCCGAAAACACATGATGTCCAAAAATATATTATCCGACGATACTGTATTTGTCAGATGTAAGAACTCTTTTTTTAGAAAATTAACTGTTCTTGTGAAATGACATATTTACCTTATCTTATGACCTAATAAAGTTAACACTTTAACTCGCTCATGGAAATAGCAACTTTATAAGATAACGTAATAAGATAAACATTATTTTACAAGATTAGACAAATATCCAGTAAATATGAATGCATTCAATATCAGGGGAGGGGCCCAACGGGGTACTCGTGTAACATGCTACGCTGCTAACAATCAGATAACCATCCAGGATAAATCACCTGATAAATATATAATGGGTTGGTTTGTTGGTTTCTTGTTTAGCGCCGCACTCAGCGATATTCCAGCTTTATGACGGCGGTCTGTAAATAATCGAGTCAGGACCAGACAATCCAGTGATTAATATCATGAGCTTCGATCCACGCAATTGGGATCGATGGCATGCATCAACCAAGTCAGAGAGCCTGACCACCCGATCCCGTTAGTCGCCTTTGACGACAAGCATAATCACCTTTTATGGCAAGCATGGGTTACTGAAGACATATTCTACCCCGGAATCTTCACGGGTCGATAAATATATGAGGGGTCCAATATCCCGCTAGAATACAGTCTACCAGTAGTAAAGGACCTTGTCTATACTTGTCCTGGAGAAGTCGCCCAGTTCATATCAGCCTGGTTCCCTGGGTATGCTGCGCTGCCGCTACATCTAGGAACCAGGCTGTGTTCATATTTAGCCTGTGAGCACTATTCCCGTACGCGTCCATTCAGCAGAAGTGGTCAACATTTGAGACATGTGTCAATTCGGGCTCTCCTCCAACATTAGACTGACATGACGCGATATGACTGAAAATCTGTTAAAGGTGGTGTAAATGCCCCTTTATTTACTCACGTCTTTGGTCACACGATGTGGGCAGATAATTGAAGGACCCTATCTTTATTGCAAAGTCAACTACATCGTTATAGCCCTTTGTAGCTTCATGTGGTACTTGATTCACTTATAATGACAAATCAGGAGGAAAGTGAACTTCTATTAATCACCCAGTATCTGTGATTAAGCGGGTGTTAGCGTTGAATACACCCGGTGTGGGTGATCTAGGATACACTCTTCTGAACAAAGATTACAGTTTGTTTTGAAAAGACAGTTCTTGATCCTTCATAGCAGCGATGACAAATTAATTTTCCTTTGAAAGGAATACCCACATTGTTTAAATACTATCAATAAGGTCCAGCTCGTGAAGAAATCATTTTGGACGACCCCGACTGAAACATAAACTTCCGCACCAAACGTCACCACGCGATAGTCAAGACAATAATTGATCAGTCTTTGTTTTCTGAAGTCTTAAGTTGGTAATTTCTGATCTTTGGCCGTGCATTGTCCCTTAGCTCCAAAGGTTGAACGGTACCAAACCGGTTAGTTATTACCCCGATACCGCGGACAGTGAATCACGCGCGAAAACAATGACAGAAACGACCATAATACGTCCGCAGTCATGCGCAAACATGAATATGAGGGCATCTGAGTTTCCGGTGCAGCCGCTATCCTGGTGTGTTGCGATAAGTGGTCATGTCTCGCGGACAGTTCACCCTCAGCTCGGCCCTCGCCATCAAACTTAATCGCCTATCTTTCTTTTTCACTAGGCTATGAGTAAGTCAAAATTATTCATGCCTAGGCATAAAAAACATGGCGGGAAGCCACCAGTGTCTGGCCCGTCTGACGTTGTTTTGATTTATCGCTCGTGGCTCGTGGCGCGTGCATTTATTTACAGGTAATTAATCATATCTCTCGTGCCCAGCCACTCTATGACAAGGTTGTCACATTTTCATAGCGGTATGTTCAACTCCGGTGACATTATGAAAACGTGTTCGCGCCATGTTTAGAATAAACGTGTCACCACGAAACCTGATTAGTACTCGCGCAGCGCAATCCCTGCCACCGAATATGACGGACAACTTGGACGGGATTGAGAAAATATTTAGTTATCCCTCGTCACGTGACATTGCTGTCTTGGCTTTGAGGGGGGTCTCCCCGCACACGACCTGCACGTGCATTTCACTATCTATTAGGCGTAAGATTATAATAGGATTCCCCAAGGCTGAGGCTTATAAATACCAGTTCCGGATAATTTCAACTAATTGACCTTGTGGCAAACGAAAGGAAAATTAAATCTAAGGATTTGTTTGTAATTAAATACAAATGGAAAATGTGTGATAATGAGATGAATGAATTATGGTCAACTAGTAATCACAGAGATTTGACCGATGACCACTTGAATGGTCAATCAACATTTCGTCATAATGCCACTGGTCAGTGACACGGGTAATGGCGACCTTGACGAAACAATTAAGGCAGCATTCTGTCACATTACTATCAACAAGGCACTTAGATTTGATTGTCTGATTCCCAATACATTTACTTTACTAACGAAACAAAACTGAGATTGTTTTGATTTTTTAATAGTAAAGAATAGTAAGACGAGACTCAAACTTTCAAACTAACTGGTTCTCCAAGATATCTTACTTATTCATCTTTCGTGAATGTTGAAATTTATCAGAGCGCAATATGCGAGAGGGTAAGGATGATAGTACTTTTATCAAGAAAGCCTACGTTTCGGCACAGAACGCTAGCATCCTGGTTGATACAGAGGACCCAGCATCAGTACCAAAACGCCTCATTGAAAGAACAAAAAGTTAAAATCCTTCAATCAGCTGTCTTCATCAGACTACAGCTTCTAAATGCCCCATATAACATAATTACAAGTATTGTCAGAAGAAATTGGATATATATTTTTTTCCACGGAAACCGCTATACTCCTATTTATCAAAGACAAAGTGAAGCGTGTATGTCTTCGTATCCCAACTGCGTTGATTGTGATGTTAATCACTGAATTGTCTGGTCCAAACTCGATCATTTACAGACCGCTGTCATACAGTTGGAATATTGCTGAGTACGTCGTTAAACAACAAAGATAGACATGGCAGTGAGCGCAAACAAGGCGAGTGATATGGACGCACCCACCTAAACCTTTCTGTATCATATTATTCACAGTGATTTTAAATAATAAATTAATATATCACATAGGATGCCCCCTTATCAATTGCATAAAAATCATTATTCATTGTTCAAAGAGCAAAGTTCGCTGGATTGCACTTACATATTATTCATCCATGTATCTATATAATAAAACAATGACATACACACACCATAATTAATAATTCATTTAAATCCCGTGTTTAACTTTTAAAATACCCACAATATTTCAACTAGAAATATATCTGTCAGGATATGTATGTATTAATCGAGCCTAAATTCATAGTTTAAGCTTAATTGATGTTGTAACGGCCAAGAGCAGCACAAAACATCTATCCCGTAGCCTCGTGCCTTCGACGCCCGAGACCCTGCCTTGTTCATTGCACCAGAGTGACAGGTTCACGCGCAGGAGTCGGACCGCCTCTCCGATCGATTTCATCTCTCACTCACGTTCTTTGTCAATATCACACGCCAGGCTAGAGTAACCTCCCTTTACCTTATGGCCGTGCACATATCGCTCTTGACTATCTGCACGAAAATATTTTACCGAATTGTTTTGATCAAATGCGAATTTGAAATTACATTGTTATGTGTGTTTTTATATACAGATGAGATACATAACTGAAATTAGTAACCATTTCAGATGAATTCACCAGGAGTATAAAGCAATTAACATACATGTGTGAATTTCACGGCATATTTATTTGAACATGTTTTCACTCTGACCTTATAAAAACATTGACTATACTATGACAATGTCACCCTAATGGGACATAATGAAATTAATATTCTTAACAGGAACAGTAATTTTTAATATCTAAATTGAAATGGTCCTATCCGCTCATATGGAGAGACAAACAAAAATAGAGCGTTAAATACGAATAATAAAATAATTATTCTTTTTGCAGAGAGTCCAGTACCGCATGCTGCAAACCACTCATTCGTGATGCAACTCTACCGCCTTTCACAAAAAGGTTTACTTATTATCTAAATGGAAATCATGTGCAAATAAACACGTCATAGTTGGAAATGTGACAGCTGATAGAATTTTCGGACAGTAATCTAAAGAACACAAACCTTATCAATCCAACTATAGTAATGAAACAAACAACTGTTTTCAAAATAATTATTTGTGTTTCAGCAAAATATAATAGTCGAGCCTCCAGCGCCATCTAGGTGGTTGAATGTGGCTGCATCAGGATCATTCCCTACACATATCTGTAAGCCCTGAGTGTTCGGAGTGATGAATACTTGTGGACTGTCTAACAAAAGTAGTTCCAACATAAAAGGAACTTAAACTAAATGTATAAATGTTTCTATATCAGCAGTATATCATAGAAATCCCCAAGCCAATAAAAGTGTTAAACACGAAGTCCAGACATGCCTGTAACAACTGTAACAAGAAATAATTTTTACTTAGGAATTTATGTTTAGGAATTTATCTATTGTCTACTATAATACTTAAAAGAAAAGAATAAAAAATAAACGCATACATATTCTTAACACTAACAGTTGGTACTGGAGTTTGTTTGTTGTTTAACGCCGCACTCCAGCTATATGACGGCGGTCTGCAAATAAGCGAGTCTGGACCAGACAATCCAGTGATTGATATTATGAGCATTAATCCTCGCAATTGGGATCGATGATATGCATCAACCAAGTCACTAGCCTGACCACCCGATCCCGTTAGTCGCTTCTAACGACAAGCCCAGTCGTCTTTTACGGCAAGCATGGGTTGCTGAAGACCTAGTCCACCCCGGATCTTCACGGGTCTGGTATTGGAGTAGCTACGCGATGGAGGTGCGCAAGCGAATGTCATCCCAAAACTTGTCGGTACACCTAATTACCTCTTGTTCCAACGCGTTATTGACACTTGTCAACATGCAACACATAGTGTGGATATCTCATTCTCACGTAACTTACCTAAAGGTGACCGGAACAGATAGACTCCACTTGAACGGACCCCGCTAGTCCGGAAACCTCATCATCCGGGCCATTACTGTTAGAGACGTCACAAAAAAAACCAAGCGACATTACTGACTGATTGATGACATCGTGAGCGGTGGCGCCGGGTTGAGGGGGTGTAGTGAGATGATGTAGAAGAAGATGCCGTGATGGGGACAGCGAGGAGGTGACAAGAATACACTGAAACAATAGTATAGCATCATCCACCTTTAACTCACGGAGATATTTGTACGGAGATGTTTATAAGTTTGTTTTTTTATATTTTTGTTTAACGCCGCACTCAGCAATATTCCAGCTATATGACGGCGGTTTGTATATAATCGAGATGGACCAGACAATCCAGTGATTGACATCATGAGCATCGATAACATGCTTCAACCAAGTCAGCAAGCCTGACCACCCGATCCCGTTAGTCGCCTCTAACGACAAGCATGGGTTGTTTGTTTATAAGTACTGGACATAAGTGGAATAAAAGTGTCAATGTTTACAATGATAAGATGGAAGATTTTTAATCTGATGATGTCCACTTGACGACATTCTAACATGAATTGTAATTAGATCACCGATTGCATTACGCGAAGATATTCTGTATTCGGAAATTATCTGGTAGAAGTTGATAATAGTTTACTAAATCGTTCCAAATAACATAGAATTTTTTTTGTATCCGGAATTAAAGTTCTAACAAAATACTCGTGTGTTGACAAGTTCATGTCGCAATACAGAACCCGGAATCGACGATGTAATAAAATGTTTAGTAACTGTTCAGACTCGTGAAGATCCGGGGTCTTTAGTAACCTATGCATGCCATAAAAGGCGACTATGCTTGTCGTAAGAGGCGACTAAAAGGATTGTGTGTCAGGCTCGCTGACTTGGTTGATGCATGTCATTGTACCCCAATTGCGTGGGTCAATGCTCATGATGTCAATCACTGGATTGTCTGGTCCAGACTCGCTTATTTATAGACCGCCGTCATATATCTGGAATATTGCTGAGTGCGGCGTTAAACAACAAACAAACAGTAACCGTTTCCATGGTAACAGTTTTTTCAGTTCCCTTTCGATTATTTCCTCTGCCTCTACAGTCATACAATATGAACCCACTTCACAAAACAATCTTGGTCGTACCACTATCGCAAGTCCATGTTTGAGTATAGGAGAAGCGAAAGTCGTTGTCTGAAACGGACCCGATTTGCGCCCTCCTCGAACAACAGGCAATGTTCATTAATAAATATAACCAACTTTTCATAAAGTATTTGTCAGTTGGATATATATAGTGCATGTCATATTGATTTGAATAACTGAATGACACAACATAGTTAGTATTAAACTGAAAAGGGAGCACGTTACTGGTTCAACGGTCTCCTACGAGCCAGCTTGATATATGTGCGGTAGTATATACGTGTAACATCGACCATGGATGGGGTCGCTTGTGATCCATGCTCACTACCTAATAACGACATAACAAAACGCACCGTAGGGCAGACACAGGCGAACACGTGCCCGAACCAGGGTGTGCGTCTATCTGCATCCCTCCTCCGAATCCAACAGTAAAACCGTTATATATTAATGTTGACACCGCTCTTATCGACAAGTGAAAAGATTGAAGCTAATTCAGTTGTTTCATGGCTTGACACGACCATAACAAGCGTGACCGCCGCTCCAAACAAGACCGCATGCAGGAGGGACACGTGATTGAAACATTGGCGTAATTCTTTAAAAAATGACGTTTTCCACCTCAGCTTAAATAGAGAGTAAATGATAACAATTTTCTTAGACAGGAGATAATTATTGAGGGTACAGAACAGTCTCGCCTTGTTTGTTGCCAATTCTAATCAGACCTCGGGAGGGCATTTGCACATACATATTTTTTAACGAATGTGAAATGTGCGTTTAATTATTTATTTTTTTACCTTTTTAGATTTTATAAGACGCAACTCAATATTATTTATTTTCAACTTCAATATATCTCTCTTCGTTTTGAACCCTTTACATTACCTTTATTATTAAATTAATTGATAATCCGTCGCAAGACAACGCTTGATGGAAATATCAGCCAGAAGCCATTGAAATGATATCTTTTACAAATTATAAAACGGAATAACTGAAGGGGATTAATAACACCATATACCTCGCATAGGTGAATCGTGTCATCTCGCCCGACAAAAAACATCACGAACAAAATTAGTTCTGTATGACAAATACCGAAGCTCAACTTGGATCCTAACAGAGTGTCTCATTATATCCGAGGCTCCATAGGTGCAACATAAGCGAAGCAGCGCCCGAGGACTTTCCGAATGTCTTTGAGCGTGTTCGCTGAGGCGTCCGATCGGCCCCTATTTCCCTGTCGATGTGATATGAAAAGAACCTGGTCGACGCGCAGGTAAATTAAAGGGCAGCGTCTCCTTTGATGTGCTTGGGCAGGGGTTACATGTAGTAATTAGGGGGTAGTTTGGCAGAATCCGAGTTTAAGCTTCATTCCTGTGAATTATCGTTTAGATGATCACATTGCGCGTTTAGACGGTCTCCGGACCACGGTTTCTGCCTCTGATTGGGTAAATTAAGACATCCAGGGAATGCATATGCGCGAAGAAGAGTTATCTTCCCTGAAATTTGGGAACCAATGCGCATTCGCAGAACAATCCAGGAGAAGATAGGAGATTCACCCACGGTTCTTGAAATGTCGCCCGCTCAATGTGTCCAACCTCACAGAATGCATGGAGGAGATACATGTCAGCTATGACGTATTTCAATCTCAGAATGACCTCCACTGAAAGGTGTTAATCATTCCAGAGGAAACTAACATTTCGTTAATTTCGCTCACATTTTGTGGGATTCGAACCCCTGTGTGAGAATGTTCAGCAAGGCTGTGACGTTAAGAACTATTAACACTTTGTCCTCCAAGTCACTAGACATGTTTATGTTAAAACGCGGAGACACCAGCGGAATGGAGGTCTAGACGTTGTAGTACGCGACGTGTCTGAGACGGAGGCACCGTCCCCGTTTAATGAGGGTGATCAAGCGGCTTTATTGTTCTCAGCATAACTTTTGAGTCGACTGCTGGCTCACTTGATTCACACTTGCTGGGGCGGCAGGTTCTTCCCAGCCTAGTCTTGGTGTCCTTGAGTATAAATCGTGCGACAATACCCTGTGTCTGCTTGTACTAGTCTGGACTTATGCCGATTTTATAGCGCTAGCCCACTGAGATACCATGCCGCAGTTTAACATGGATACCCCACTCAGGCACAGTATACTGACTCCGAGCCGACCAGTCCTTGTTTTAGCCCCTTAATGCCGGGCGCCAGACAGGGTAACAACAAGTACCAACTTTCAACGTCTTATGGTACGATGCGGCCTGGGATCGAACCATTGGCCTTTGCTCGCAGGGCTGACACTTCTTCCTGTAGGCTACGGAGGAGGTCACATGTTGAGAAAACACGGCCTTAACATGAAACCACAAAACCAGTGTATCTCTAAATCATTGTCGGCACTTCACTTGTAGCAGTACCAATTGACCATTGTGTGTGTGTGTGTGTGTGTGTGTGTGTGTGTGTGTGTGTGTGTGTGTGTGTGTGTGTATTTTCAAACATTCTTTTTATTTACACTATTAACACAAATGTTTGACGTTTGAGCATTTCCCACAAACCAAACTATTCATTTTGTTACTACTGCCAATAAATTATTAATTTTGGGCATATTTCTGAACAAACTATTCATATAGCCCCTCCCCCATAACAGAAATCAAAAGGATGCTCCCTCATGAAAAGATTAACCCTGAAGTTAAGCTAAAACAGAAATGTAGAATAGTCGATACCTGGTAACACTGGGACAGAATCAATGTATTATTGACGGCATGGCACATTCTCTTGAATATATCTACTGTGCAATGACATTATACATCGAATAATTACAATACATATATCATGTATGGCACTCTCATTCTTCGCCATGGGGGGGGGGGGGGGGGGGGGGGGGGGGGTGGGGGGGGGCACCGGTGGCCCCAGTCGTCTAAGGCGCCGCGATTCACTGTGCAGGGTTGCGTCCCTTGGGCACGCCAGAAACCTATGATTGTGGGTTCCAATCCCGGTTCGTCCCAATTATGTTTCTAGGTTTGTCAGCACCATACCCGTGCTCGTGGGTTTCACCGAAGTGGTAAATGTCTGAGACCTGCATCACTTCGGGCTTTCCTCCCACATTAAGCTGACACGCCGCAATATAACTGGAATATTGTTAAAAGCGGCGTTAAACCCAACTCACTCACTCACTCACTCTTCGCCATGACACTGGTTGATGCACCTAACCGTTACATCTAAATCGAGTTTCACCTCTTTTAGGTGTCGTTCTATAAGGAACGTATTTTCATGAAACAAAATCAAATATATTTCTCTCACGGCAAGCTGAGATATTACACTCAACTTTTGATAGGGAAATTTCAACATTATTTCATCCTTGACTAAAAGCAACAGACATCCGTCGCTTGTTTATTCTAACTTGATGTTTTATTTCAACACACTATAAAATACTATTCGTATGACAACATCTCAAATGAATCGGTCTCCTTTCTGTAAGCCGAAAGGCAACTCGTACCCAAACATTTGAAATACGAAAATACTAGACAAATGCACCTGATTTGCGTTTCTGAGTAAAATCTTAGCCAATTAATTGTTATTTTTGTTTAAATGTCACTAAATAATTCAATTTCATATACCCACCTCCGGATCCGCGTATGGTACTCATATGAATGATATGTGAACGTGTATATGTGCATTGGTGAAAGATTCTCTCTTAACATTGCGGTTTGTGGTATAGTTTGTATCTAAAAAGATAACAAAGTATTTGTCATAATTGTTCACAAATTGAAATATAGGAAAATCGTAAATATCTTTGTAAACCTTTTTAAAAGCAAAGGCTGATGTGACACCCGTGTGACAGGTTTGTTTCGCTGGGGCCTACTTGTGCTCAGACGGAGCTAAGTTCATAAAATGACCACACCAGTCGCCTTTAAGTTAATGTCGAAATGAGAAATGACACGAGTGGTCACGAATGTCATTGTAACTAAACAAGTCTTGGTTTCATTTGAAGATAGACAACTGTCGAGTTTATTGTATCATATGATGAATGATATCACTAACTTACTACTAACATTTGTATCGTAACCTTACTTTCCATAGTCCCAGCCTTCGT